AACGCGCGCGCCTGGACCGACGCGCGCGCCTGGACCAACGCGCGCGCCTGAACCGACGTGCGCGCCTAGACCAACGCGCGCGCCTGGACTAAGTCGCGCGCCCCTTGTCCAAGTCGCGCGCCTGGACCAACGCGCGCGCCTGGATTAACGCGCGCGCCTGGACCAACGCGTGCACCTGAACCAACGCGCGCGCAGGGACCAAGGCGCACGCCTGGACCAACGCGCGCGCCTGGACCAAGTCGCGTGCGCCTGGACTACCGCGCGCGCCTGGACCAACGAGCGCCTCTACCAACGCGCACGCCTGGACCAAGTCGCGCGCGCCTGGACTAAGTCGCGCGCCTGGACCAACGCGCGCGCCTGAACCAACGCGCGCGCCTGGACCAACGCGCGCGCCTGGACAAGGTCGCGCCCCTGGACCAAGGCGCGCGCCTGGACCAAGGCACGCACCTGGACCAAGGCGCGCCCCTGGACCAGCGCGCGCGCCTGGACCAACGCGCTTGCCTGGACCAACGCGCGCGCATGGACAAACGCGCGCGCTAAGACCAACGCGCGCGACTTGGTCCAGGCGCGCGCGTGGAGCAAGGCGCGCGCGTGGACCAAGGCGCGCGCGTGGACCAAGGCGCGCGCCTGGACCAACGCGCGCGCCTGGACCAACGCGAGCGCAAGGACCAACGCGCGTGGACCAACGCACGCGCCTGGACCGATGCGCGCGCCAGGATCAACGCGCGCGCCTGGACCAACGCGCGCGCGTGGACTAACGCGCGCGCCTGAACCAACGCGCGCGCCTGGACCAACGCGCGCGCCTCGACTAACGCGCGCGCCTGAACCAGCGTGCACGCCTGGACCAACGCGCGCGCCTGGACCAACGCGCGCGCCTTGACCAACGCGCGCGCCTGGACCAACGGCCGCGCCTGGACCAACGCGCGCGCCTGGACTAACGGGCGCGCCTGGACCAACGGGCGAGCCTTGACCAACACGCGCGCCTGGACCAAGGCGCGCGCGTGGACCAAGGCGCGCGCTTGGACCAACGCGCGCGCCTGGACCAACGCGAGCGCAAGGACCAACGCGTGTGGACCAACGCGCGCGCCTGGACCAATGCGCGCGCCAGGACCAATGCGCGCGCCTGGACCAACGCGCGCACCAAGACCAACGCGCACGCCTGGACGAAGACGTGCGCGCCTGGACCAAGTCGCGCGCCTGGACCAACGCGGTCGCTTGGACCAACGCGCGCGCGTGGACTAACGCGCGCGCCTGAACCAACGCGCGCGCCTGGACCAACGCGCGCGCCTCGACTAACGCGCGCGCCTGAACCAACGCGCACGCCTGGACCAACGCGCGCGCCTGGACCAACGCGCGCGCCTTGACCAACGCGCGCGCCTGGACCAACGGCCGCGCCTGGACCAACGCGCGCGCCTGGACTAACGGGCGCGCCTGGACCAACGGGCGAGCCTTGACCAACACGCGCGCCTGGAACACCGCGCGTGCCTGGACCGACGAGCGCGCCTGGACCAACGCGCGCGCATGGACCGACGCGCGCGCCTGGACCAACGCGCGCGCCTCAACCGACGTGCGCGCCTGGACCAACGCGCACGCCTGGACTAAGTCGCGCGCCCCTTGTCCAAGTCGCGCGCCTGGACCAACGCGCGCGCCTGGATTAACGCGCGCGCTTGGACCAACGCGTGCGCCTGAACCAACGCGCGCGCAGGGACCAAGGCGCACGCCTGGACCAACGCGCGCGCCTGGACCAAGTCGCGTGCGCCTGGACTACCGCGCGCGCCTGGACCAACGCGCGCGCCTGGACCAACGCGCGCGCCTTGACCAACGCGCGCGCCTGGACCAACGGCCGCGCCTGGACCAACGCGCGCGCCTGGACTAACGGGCGCGCCTGGACCAACGGGCGAGCCTTGACCAACACGCGCGCCTGGACCAAGGCGCGCGCGTGGACCAAGGCGCGCGCTTGGACCAACGCGCGCGCCTGGACCAACACGAGCGCAAGGACCAACGCGTGTGGACCAACGCGCGCGCCTGGACCAATGCGCGCGCCAGGACCAATGCGCGCGCCTGGACCAACGCGCGCACCAAGACCAACGCGCACGCCTGGACGAAGACGTGCGCGCCTGGACCAAGTCGCGCGCCTGGACCAACGCGCGCGCTTGGACCAACGCGCGCGCGTGGACTAACGCGCGCGCCTGAACCAACGCGCGCGCCTGGACCAACGCGCGCGCCTCGACTAACGCGCGCGCCTGAACCAACGCGCACGCCTGGACCAACGCGCGCGCCTAGACCAACGCGCGCGCCTTGACCAACGCGCGCGCCTGGACCAACGGCCGCGCCTGGACCAACGCGCGCGCCTGGACTAACGGGCGCGCCTGGACCAACGGGCGAGCCTTGACCAACACGCGCGCCTGGAACACCGCGCGTGCCTGGACCGACGAGCGCGCCTGGACCAACGCGCGCGCATGGACCGACGCGCGCGCCTGGACCAACGCGCGCGCCTCAACCGACGTGCGCGCCTGGACCAACGCGCACGCCTGGACTAAGTCGCGCGCCCCTTGTCCAAGTCGCGCGCCTGGACCAACGCGCGCGCCTGGATTAACGCGCGCGCCTGGACCAACGCGTGCGCCTGAACCAACGCGCGCGCAGGGACCAAGGCGCACGCCTGGACCAACGCGCGCGCCTGGACCAAGTCGCGTGCGCCTGGACTACCGCGCGCGCCTGGACCAACGCGCGCGCCTGGACCAACGCGCACGCCTGGACCAAGTCTCGCGCGCCTGGATTTAGTCGCGCGCCTGGACCAACGCGCGCGCCTGGACCAACGCGCGCGCCTAGACCAACGCGCGCGCCTGAACCAACGCGCGCGCCTGGACCAACGCGCGCGCCTGGACAAGGTCGCGCCCCTGGACCAAGGCGCGCGCCTGGACCAAGGCACGCACCTGGACCAAGGCGCGCCCCTGGACCAGCGCGCGCGCCTGGACCAACGCGCTTGCCTGGACCAACGCGCGCGCATGGACAAACGCGCACGCTAAGACCAACGCGCGCGACTTGGTCCAGGCGCGCGCGTGGAGCATGGCGCGCGCGTGGACCAAGGCGCGCGCGTGGACCAAGGCGCGCGCCTGGACCAACGCGCGCGCCTGGACCAATGCGAGCGCAAGGACCAACGCGCGTGGACCAACGCGCGCGCCTGGACCAATGCGCGCGACAGGACCAACGCGCGCGCCTGGACCAACGCGCGCACCAAGACCAACGAGCGCGCCTGGACGAAGACGTGCGCGCCTGGACCAAGTCACGCGCGTGCACCAACGCGCGCGCCTGGACCAACGCGCGCGTGGACTAACGCGCGCGCCTAAACCAACGCGCGCGCCTGGACCAACGCGCGCCCCTAGACCAACGCGCGCGCCTGGACCAACGGGCGCGCCTGGACCAACGCGCGTGCCTGGTCCAACTCGCGCGCCTGGACCAATGCGCGCGCCTGGACTAAGTCGCGCACGCCTGAATAAACACGCGCGCCTGGACCAAGTCGCGCCCCTGGACCAACGCGCGCGCCTGGACCAACGCGCGCGCCTTGACCAAGGCGCGCGCCCGGACCAACGCCCGCGCCTGGACCAACGCGCGCTCCTGGACCAACGCGCGCGCCTGGACCAACGCTCGCGCCTGGACCAACGCGCGCGCCTAGACTTAGTCGCGCGCCTGGACCGACGCACGCGCCTGGACCTACGCACGCACCTAAACCAACGCGCGCGCCTGGACTAGCGCGCGCGCCTGGATCAAGTCGCGCGCGCCTGGACCAAGTCGCGCGCGCCTGGACCAAGTCGCGCGCTTGGACCAAGTCGCGCGCCTGGCCCGACGCGCGCGCCTGGACCAACGCGCGCGCCTGGACTAAGTCGCGCGCGCCTGGACTAACGCGCGCGCCTGCACCAAGTCACGCCCCTGGACCAACGGGCGCGCCTGGACCAAGGCGCGCGCCTGGACCAACGCGCGCCCCTGCACTAACGCGTGCTCCTGGACCAACGCGCGCGCCTGGACCAACGCGCGCGCCTGGCCCAACGCGCGCGCCTGGCCCAACGCGCGCCCCTGGACCAACGCGCGCGCCTGGACCAGCACGCGCGCCTGGACCAGCGCGCGCGCCTGGACCAACGGCGCGCCTGGACCAACGCGCGCGCCTGGACCCTTGCGCGCGCCTGGACCCTTGCGCGCGCCTGGACCAGCGCGCGCGCCTGGACCAAGTCGCGCGCCTGGACCAAGTCGCGCCCCTGGACCAACGCGCGCGCCTGGACCAAGGCGCGCGCCTGGACCAAGGCGCGCGCCTGGACCAACGCGCGCGCCTGGACCAACGCGCGCGCCTGGACTAACCCGCGCGCCTGGACCATCGCGCGCGCCCGGGACCAACGCGCGCGCCTCGGTCCGCGCGCGCGCCCGCGCCTTGGTCCGCACGCGCGCGCGCCTTGGTCCGCGCGCATGCCTTGGTGCACCAGAATACCGGGAAACCGGGATACCGGGAAACCGGCATCAACGTAGGTAACAGGTACCTGTGGTATAGGACAAGATGGGCTCCATAACTTGGTGATTGTACACATGGTAATAGGGTAACTCGCCTGCACTGTAACACACACATACCTGCATGCGTGAGGGCGAGATGGGCAGATAGTTCGGGGAATGTGCGAGTCGCAGAATCATTGACTCGACTTGGTACAGCATGTAACATGGTTACCACACACACATACAGCACACATACCTGCATGCGCGAGGGTGAGATGCACAGGTAGTTCTGCGAGTGCGCGAGTCGCAGCATCATCGATTCGACTCGGTACTGGGAGCCCCGTGACAACACCGAGAAGAAGTCGATTCCAAACACCCGCGCTAGCTCCGCCGTGCGGTTCGCCTTATAACGAGGATGGAATGGGATGAAGAAGGGGCAAGAAAGGAAGAGAGGAGATATGAGAACTGCTGGCAAACACACGAACAGAGTAGAGGGGGCTGTTGACGTTATATATTCAGGATAGTTATAAAGGAGCAACAAGTTGGAGAGGATGGGGAGAGAGGGGATGTTTGAGGCTGCTTAACATGGCAAATGTGATCCACGTGGCAGCACTCACAACGTCCAGGTGGATCCACTCAACAATGAGCACGTGGCAGCACTCACAACATCCAGGTGTCGCATCATGTCAAGATTCAGCCGAGCTCTCGCCACAAAATGCTCGATGCACCGCCACCGCTGCACCCTCCCCACTGCTGCCGCTGCTGCCGCTGCTGCTGCTGCTGCCGCTGCTGCCGCTGTACCTCCTCCCCATCTCCCTCCTAATCCTGCTGCACCTGCTATTCCAGCTGCAACTGCGGATGCTTCTCCTCCTCCTCCCACTCCCCCTCCCCCTCCCCCTCTCCCTTCCCCCCAAGCCTTCCACCACCCAGTCAGCGTGCACCAATCATACTTCGCCACGTGTCGCCTCAGCACAGCAAGCACCACCGCATGGAACGAGTAAACCGGCAGCTTCACCTCAGCCCGCATCACTCTCCACAGGTTGATCATGATGCGCCCGGCCACGTGCAAGCCGCTGCCGTGCGTTTTACCCCACTCGTCTGTTACTATAGCGTCGTCCTCCCCCCGCCCGCGGCCTCCCCCTCTCCTTCTCATCCACCTCTCCCTCCCCCCGTCGCCTGTCGCGCCTTCTTTCCCTACTCCTCCTCCGCCCATCCCCCTTTCTCCTCGTTCCCCTCCCTTCCCCGAGTTATTCAAGGGCCCCTGTCCACCCCCAATCCGTCCATCACCTCTATTCAGTCTCTCATCCCCTTTCCCCGCTCCCCCTTCTCCCCTTCCCCCTCCGCCTCCCGCTCCCCCCCCTGCTCCCCATCGTGTTCCAGCTCCCCCACTTGCTCCCACTCCTGACGTGGCAGGGATGAGGAGAGGCCACGTGGAAGGGTCATCTGCCAGCAAGGCAGAACCAGCACACGCCGCCCTCCCTCTACTCCCATGCGCATGTGCTTGCATATGCATACACGTTTGTGCCAGCACCTGTGCACCATATGTGGTGGAATTCATCTGTACACCTGTCTCCGCAGGCACAGCAGGTGCTGCATGTGCAGGGGGGAGGGCGAAGTCTGTTTTTTTAGAATTCTCAAAAAACACAGCAGCTGCTGCATGTGCAGGGGGGGGGGCGAACCCACCGAACCCACCGAACCCACGGTGCCATGCGCTCATGTCTTGTGGCACGGGGACGGACTGGGAGGGGGAGAGTGGAAATGAGAGGATGGGGGGAGAAGAGTGGATGGGGGATGGGCCAACTGGCTGCTGCTGCTGCTGCTGCTCTGGCTGTGAGATGTTTGAGGTGGTGTAAGGAGTGATGGCGTCAGGTGGAGCAGCTTCAAGAGTGGTGGCAGGTGGAGTGGCGTCAGGTGGAGTGGCATCAGGAGTGGTTGCATCAGGTGGAGTGGCATCAGGAGTGGTTGCATCAGGTGGAGTGCCGTCAGGAGTGGTGGCATCAGGAGTGGTGGCGTCAGGTGGAGTAGCATCACGAGGAGCAGTGGCAAGCGGAGGTGAAAGGGGCGATTGAGACGGGCCTATAGGAGGGAGAGATGGGGAGAGGTGCATCTGGGACTGGGAGGGGAACATGGGGATGTGCTGGGAATCCAAGGGCGGCACGGATGTGATTGCTGCGTGCGGGAGTGGCTGTTCTGACTGGGCTGGGTGCGACTGTGGCGGGTGCGACTGGAACTGCTGATGTCCGGTGGAATCAGGGCGAGTTGGGAGTGGAGGACTGGAGAGACGTGCTTCAAGTGTGTCACACTTGAACGGCGCCCTTGCCTGCGCTACCCTCACATCGTGCACAGGCGGCACTCTGGAGAGCGATTTGAGAAGGTTAAAGCCCAGGTGCTGCGCTCTCTCCGCCAGCCACCCCCAGGAGCCCGCCTGCACCTCCCACCCCAGCAGTATGTCCGGGTCATACTGCCTCACCACTGCTACCAGGCACTCTAACAAAGAAACTTCCGAGGACAATAAGTGGATGCGGCAGGACGAGAGGGCGTCGGGGTTCCTGAGGTGGAAAGACGGGGAAGGAATCGGAGCAGAAGACACAGGTTGGGTGAAGCACAGGTGCTGTGCTCTCTCCGGGGCGTCGGGGTTCCTGAGGAGAAGAAACAAATGGAAAAAAAAAAAAGCCAGACGAAAGGAAGCATGTTGAGCAATCCTCTCAAGAATCCTCAAGCCCGCACAAGAATCCTCCCTGCACCTCCCAGGCTCCCAACCAATCACTATGTCAGGGTTGTGCTCTGCTCTCTCTCACTATATGGAGCTTCGCCAACAAACCTTCCACAGCTACGATGGCAAAACCTCTGCAAAGGAGGGGAGCCACTGTTGAGACCTCTCAAAAAGACTTACAGAATGAGGGGAGCACGCAGCACAAGTACCTGCGGGCAAAGTCCAAAGGAGACTCGTCCATGTGTGCCTTCCCGCCAACCAACGTGGCTCATTCTCACTCAAGCTGCCGCTCCCTGCCGCTAGGAGCGCCAACAACAAAGCCTCAAGAGGGAACAGAAGGGAGGAGCACGGAGCACAAGTACCTGCGGCAGATGTCCGAAGGGGTCTCCTCCAGGATCAACACATCCACCTGTGCCCTCCCCCCAACTCTCCTCAACCTGATTCGTCCCCTCCCTCTCCCGCCACCACTCCCTGCTGCCTCCCCTCTCCCACTCTCTTCCCTCCCCTCGCCCTCTTCCGCTTCCTCCGCCTCCTCCCCCTCTGTCTCCCCTTCACAGTACCCCTCCCCATCCCCCTCCCCATCCCCCTCCCCATCCCCCTCCCCATCCCCCTCCCCATCCCCCTCCCCCTGAGTGGCGAGAACGACACAGCACAGCGTGTCTAGTGCAGGGTCAGGAAGCAAGTCCCCTCTGGTGCACGCAAGCACCTCTGCACTCATGCTCACCACGTGCTCGCAGCAAGAAGAAGCGGAAGAGGAGGAAGGAGAGGAGGAACAGGATCTTTTCTTTCTCTCGCTGGAGCTTCTTCCTGTATCTGCTGCATCATCCTTCATAACTTCGGCTTTTGCTCCACCCTCCTCCTTTTCCTCCTCCACTTTCTCTAGTGTCACTTCCCCTTTCTGCTTCTCAGCCCTCCTCTTCTCTCCTCCAACTACCCCCGAACCAACTCTTTCTACCTCTCCCTCTGCAGTAGCTCTTTTTCGCCCTTCTCCCACCTCGCTGGTTTCCTCTATTCTCACCTTCTCTCCACTCCCCTTTTTTCCACTCTTACTCTCCCTGAATCCTGATTGGCTGACTGGAGTCGCAGCCTGAGTTGCTGGGGTCAGCTGGGAGAAATCTCGCCACCTGGCAGCCCCTGATTGGCGGAGAGCATACCCCTTCCATACACCAGGACCAGGATCACCGAACGGCCTAGAAACACCTGAAATTCCACGTGGGATCCTGCTAGATTGGATATGATACGATTCTGGAGAAACAGGAGACGCAGAGGAAGGCGAAGGGGGCAAGGTGAAGGGAGAAAGAGGAGGTCGGAAACTCTGTGTGGGGGGTTGCGATTGGATGAGAGGGGGTGATTGGAGGAGAGTGGGTGAAGGTTGAGAGGGGTTCAGACCGGTGGTAGCAGGAGAAGGAGGTGTAGGGGGGGACTCTCCAATAGAAAGAGATGATTTTCCTATTGGTGACTGTCCAGAAACAGCACGCGCAGAAGTAGCAGCAGCAGAAGCAGTGGTGGTGGCAGCAGCAGCAGCAGAAGCAGCAGCAGCAGCAGCAGCAGCAGAAGCAGCAGCAGCAGCAGCAGAAGCAGCAGCAGCAGCAGCAGCAGCAGCAGCAGGGTTGGTGGTGGTGGGACTGGCAGCGGCCCCAGCGGCTGTAGGCATGCGGAGGAGAGAAGGGGGGATGCGAGGAGGCGGCATGGAGCTGAAGGTGACTCGGGACCGAGGTTGAGGAGATTGGAAACAAGAATGATCAGCGGGCGGCGACTTCAAAATCCCCTGGGATTCAAATGACACTGGGATCAGAGGTCCCTCCTTTCTTCCAGTCTCCTCTTCGCCTGCTGCTGCTTCATCTGAGATTCTCCTCCTCCTTCGTTCTGATGTTGCCCTTGACGCAGACCCTGACCTTCGTGTCGACCTTGCACTCCAGGGGGGGGATCTGAGGCGTGACTGTGACTGTATGGGGGTTGACAGCAGCTGCGTTGTAAGCACGTGCCCCTCATTCCACTTGGGCGACGCAGGCCTTTCAAATATCTCTTCTTCTTCCTCTTCTTCTTCATCATGTCCGCTACCCTCCTCTCTATCCTCGTTACAACCATCCTTGTTACTGACCTCTCTCTCCTCTCCCTCTCCATCCTCCTCGTCCTCCTCCTCCTCCTCCTCCTCCCCCTCATCCACCATCTCTTCGACCTCTCTCCTCCACCTTCCCACATCACTCCACGTTCCCCATTCCATCTCACCCTCGCCCTCATCCCCCTCGTCCCCCACTGCCCTATTCCTCCCCCCACCTCCTCCCCTCGCCACCACACCCCGCCTACCCCCTTCCCTCCTGTTCCCACGTCCTCTAGAACCCGCCCCCCCCTTCCTTCGGTTCCCACCCACCAAACCCTTGCCGGCCTTCCTTCCTCCCCCACCCAGCACACCTGCCTCTTGAACGAGCAACTGGCCTGTGTTGGGATCAAGGGCAAAGTCTGCCTGCTGCTCTGCACTTGGTTGTATTGCACTGCATTGGAGACCGTGTTTGGGTGAACCCATAAAACCAGCACAACCAGCAGCAGCAGCAGCAGCAGCAGCAGCAGCAGCAGCAGCAGCAGCAGCAGCAGCAGCAGCAGCAGCAGCAGCAGCAGCAGCAGCAGCAGCATCAGCGCTGCCAGGGGCACCTCTATCAGGTTCAGCTTCAGCACCCCCAGCAGACACAGCTATTTCTCCCCTTTCCACGCTCACCCCCCTCCTATCCTCTCCTCTGCTTCTTGAGTAAGCAACATGCTTATCCTTCCTCGTCTTCAGCAGCCCTTCTCTTATCGCCCACACCTCCACCCGCCGCCGAGAGGGCGGCTGCTGAGCTGGCACAATCTGATACGACGTCCGGCCGAGCCTGTCGACTCGGCTCGGCACTCCAGGTACGGGCTCCCCTTCCCGAGCCAGCCTAGGGGCGGGCCAGCGCACTGAAGCTGCTGCAGCTGCTGAAGTGGCCACAGCAACAGGCGCTGCAACAGCAGTACTGGTGCTGCCGCCATTGAAGGGGCGAAGGGGGCAAATGGGTGCTGTGTTATCTGGTGCATCGAGGAATCCGGGAAGAGAGGTGGAGGGGGTGAGTGAGGCGAGAGTGAGGAAGGGCGGGGCTGTGTTGAAGGTGGAGTGGGAGCGAGGGCCAGAGGGGCCGAAGGGGAAGGGAGGCAGGTGAGCATCGTGAGCTGAGAGAACTGTTGGATGGTGAGGACGGGGGATGGGGGATGGACAGAGGGGGGTCGAGAGGGTGACGAAGTATAAGATGTTTTTGTAACCAGAAAAATGTGAACAAAAAAAAAAAAAAAGGACACCTGCATGGGATGCACACACATGTGACGGGACAACAAAACACATTCATGCCCAACTGCAGACTTACTTTTGAACTCCTTCCCGCCAAAAACAGGATGCCTCTCTGGGACGTCCCTGACGTCACCGTAGTACACATCAGGCCACTGCACACGTGGCAAGCCATGGGCCTGCCACGTGTCCCTCAACTGCTGCAACGAGGGAGGCGCCCTGTGATAAACCAGCGGATCCACCACCCGTTCTTCTGTCGAGTGTGATTGTAACGAGTGGCCGGATGCAGCCTTCTCTTTAAGCACTTGAGGGATGTGGCGGGACGGGAGGAAGGTGGCGGGAAGCTGCGAGGGGGAGGAGGCAGGAACAGGTGACAGCGGCGTGTGAGGGGTTTGGAAGGTCTGAGGGGTTGGAGGAGATTCAAGCATCTGAGGAGCCTGAAGAGTTTGAGGTGTGTGAGGCGTCTGAAGAGTCTGAAACGTGTGTGGCGTTTGTACCGTCTGCTGAGATGGGTACAGCATCTGAGGGACACTGTTCGGCACAGAAGCTTCGACTCGAGGAGAGGTGGAAAGACCTACAGAAGCGTCCGCGGGTAGCTCTGGAGAAACTGAGCGGATCACAGGAGTAGGTTCAGCTGTGGGAGAGGGCTGCGGTAACAATGCGGCATTGTTACCACAGGTTGCTGATTCTGTTTTCGCTGAGGGTATCGTTGGAACGGAGACCCCTGCAGCTAAACCTGCGGCTGCTGCTGCTGCTGCTGCTGCTGCTACCTCTGCTGCAGGTGCTACAGGAATAGCAGAAGCGCCTGCTTCTGCAGCCTTGTTTCTGACGGCCGGTGCTGCAGCTGGCTCGTGATTTGACTTTTGAGTCGACTCAAAAGTTAACTCGCCTGCTTCTGCAGCCTTGTTTCTGACGGCCGGTGCTGCAGCTGGCTCGTGATTTGACTTTTGAGTCGACTCAAAAGTTAACTCGCCGGCTTCTGCAGTATTGTTTCTGACGGCTGGTACTGCAGCTGGCTCGTGATGCTCATCTTGAACTGAAGCAGCAGCAGCATCTGCTTTTATGCCAGGTGGAGAGGTGCCATCTAGAGCAACAGGTGCAGCAGCGGCAGGCTCTGCTGCTGGCTCGTGAAGCTCATCCTGAACCGAAGCAGCAGCAGCAGCAGCAGCTGCTGCTTCAGTGGCGAGAGGTGCGGCAACGCCGTCTGGAGCAGCAACGCCGTCTGGAGCAGCAACGCCGTCTGGAGCAGCAACGGCAGCCGGTGCAGCAGCTGACTTTTGAGTCGACTCAAAAGTGGCGAGAGGTGCAGCAACGCCATCTGGAGCAGCAGCGGCAGCCAGTGCAGCAGCTTGCAGAGCGTCACGTCCAGCTGGCTCAAGAATCCCTAGTTGATCTATCCTTTGGAACAGCCCACAGCTCACGCCTTGGCTCAAGCCTTGGCTCATGCCATCAACCTTGCTTTGGAACGATCCCTGGCTCATGCCATCAACCTTGCTTTGGAACGATCCCTGGCTCATGCCATCAACCTTGCTTTGGAACGATCCCTGGCTCATGCCATCAACCTTGCTTTGGAACGATCCCTGGCTCATGCCATCAACCTTGCTTTGGAACGATCCCTGGCTCATGCCATCAACCTTGCTTTGGAACGATCCCTGGCTCATGCCATCAACCTTGTTTTGGAACGATCCCTGGCTCATGCCCTGGCCTTTGGCAGGCAACCATTCTTCCGAGCCCTCGCTGCTGCTGCCCCTGCTGCCCTCTTGACTTCTCCCTTGACTTACCCTTCGACTGCCTCCTTCACTGCCTACTCGAATTTCCTCTCTGCTGCGCTCCTTCCCATTACCACTACCAACAGTCCTGCATCCGCCCACCTCCTCCTCTCCTTTCTTCAACTCCTTCTGGCTACACACGGATTTCGTCCTGCTTTCTGGCCATGAACCACGAGCGAGAGCCACTCCTCCCCCAGGCCCACAGGTCGCACCAGTTCCAGAGCTGGGGAGATGAGTGCCTTGCAGACTCTGCTTGTCACACTTGCTCCTCTCCGAGCCCGAACCACTAGCAGCAGACATTGCACTTGCACCTCTCCCACGCCCAAGGCCACGAGCGAGAGCCACTCCTCCCCGAGGCTCACAGGTCGTGCCAGTGCCAGAGCTGGGGAGATGAGTGCCTTGCAGCCTCTGCTTGTGGCGCTTCCTTCGCGACCTCAGGTGCAGTCGGGTGGTTGGTGGAGTCATCATTATCTCGTCCTCCTCCTCTCCCTCCTCTCCCTGCTCTCCCTTCTTTCCTTCCTCTCCCTCCGCTTCCTGGCCCCCCTGCTCTCCCTCCTCTTCCTGCTCCCCCTGCTCCTCCTCCTCTTCCTGCTCACCTTGCTCTCTAGACTCATCATCCTCGTTATCAGCATCCTCACTATCGTCATTAGCGCCATCCGTCTGGTGCATCTGCCAGGCCATCAGATCGCCGCGCACAAACTTGTTTATCCACTCCAACCCCTCCTCCTCTCCCTCCTCTCCCCCTCCCTTCCTTCCCTGCACTCCTGACCTCTCCCTTTCCACCATTTTCCCCTTCCCTCCCACACCCTCCCCCTCTTGCACGGACCCCTCTCCTGCATTACCCTCCGGTCCCTCCCCACCAGCACCACGTGCTGCTCCTTCCACACACCCCTTACCCTTACCCTCGGTTCCGCTTCTTCCTGACACTTGAGGAATCGGCCCCTGCCTATCCTCTCTTCCGCTCCCTTCTAGTGCGTTGCTTCCTCCAACCAGCTCTCTTTGCCCCACACCTTGCTGCATCCCTTCCTCCCACTCTTCTCCCAACTCCTCTTCTCCGGTTTCTTCCTCCGTCTCTTCTTCCTCCTCCTCCTCCCCCTCTCTTTCCCACTCCGCCCCCATCTCCCTCGCACTCGCCAGAATCCCCTCACACTCCTCCGCCACAGATGCTTCATATGCCTCCCACGCTCGCTCCATTGCTGCCCGCCTCCTCTCCCCTTGAGAACACCCCTGTGACCCACCCATTTGGAACTGAGACCCTATCTGCAGAAACTCCTGTGATCCACCTGTCGGAAGCTGAGACACTACCCTCGTGAAACCCCCATGAGACCCAACCGCTGTGGATGCCTGTGACCCGGTCGCGATCCCCCTTGGCTGGGCTTGTGCGTGTGCTTGTGCCTGCGCTTGTTCTTCTGCTTCTGCTTGTGCTTGTGTGTATGCGTGTCTCTGTGCTGCCTCACCTGCTACATCTTCTCCCAGCAACAGTTGCTCATCATCGCTCGCACTGTCGCCTTCACTGTTGTCACGCTGGCTATTGGCAACCCATCTCAGAAGGTCCAGGGCTTCTTCTTCGTCCTCCTGAGGCAAGGCAGGTGGGGAGGGGTGAGGAGGGGTGGGGCGGGGTGAAAAAGGGTGGGGCCAGGTGAGGAGGGATGGGGCAGGGTGACACGCTGAGTATTAGCATGAAAACCCATCTCAGAAGATTCAGGGCTTCTCCCTGAAAGTGGCAGGGGTGGGCAGGAGAGGGTTGGGGTTGAGGCGAGACGGTGGAGAGGAAGACACGAAACAAAACGAGAGGGGAACCCACCAGTTGCCTCTCGTGCTGTGAATTTGAGACACGTCAACACACGAGCACAAGGGGGGGTTACCTGCTGCATTTGCTGCTGTGATAGCTGTGTGACAACCACTTGTTCATCCACCAACGGCAACATGGCACTATCATCATAGACCATGTCAGAACCACCACCATTAGCACCACCATCCTCACCCCTCCATACAGGAGCATGCCCTCCCTCCTCTACTCTCTCCCCCTCCTCTCCTCCTCCCCCTTCTCCTCCTCCTCCCTCCTTCGCCTCAGCAGCACCTTGAAACGACACCCTTCTCCTCCGCTTCCTCGCACTCTCCATCCCACCACCGCTCTCCACCCATCTTTCCCCACCATCCGATCCATCACGAGCAACCCTTGCTCCTGGGGTCACGCCCATGGTTCCAGCCACAGTTTGTGCTGCTGCTGGTGCTGCTGTTGGTGCTGGAGAGAGCATGTTGGCGGGCTGCGAGCATGACAGAAGAGGGCTCTCAGCAGCAACGGCCGGCTGTCTGTGCTCTCCAGAAGCTGCTACCTGTGCTGGGGAGAGCAAGTTGGCAGGCTGGGAGCACGACAATAGAGGGCTCTCAGCAGCAACTAGTGGTGACTGTAAAGCGGTTTTCAAGACCACAGGTGACTGGATCAAGGGGACATTCTTCTCTCTAGGAGATAATATTCCCTTTCCCTCAGGTGATTTACGCCGCCGACCCTCCTCCTCTTCATCCACTGCTGCTCCGCCAATCGTTTCTCTCCCCTCGTTTCGTCTCTCATCCCTCCCCTCTCTTCCTCCCTCTTCCACTGCTCCTTCCCTTACCTCACCTCCCGCCCCTCCCCTCTCCTCGCCTTTTCCCTTCTCCCCCTCCTGCTGAGAGGAGAACAGGCGCCGAGTAGCAGGGGCCCTGTCTCGCTGCCCTTCCACACACTCATCTCCCATCCCCCGTCCCCTTCCCATTCCTATTCCCCTTCCGCTTCCCATTCCCATCGCCCTCGCCCTTCCCATTCCCGTTCCCGTTCCCATTGCAATTGCCCGTCTCCTCCTCTCCTCCCTCTCTCGCAGCACAGCCGCTTCCTCCTCTGCCAATTGATACACCACTCTCCTGAGAGACCTGTCCAAGTCGCTCAGTGGCGGCTCCATTCTCTGAGTGGCAGGAGTGGCGGCAGCAGGGGGCGTTGCTGCTGCTTCTTCTGCTCCTGCTGCAGCAGCTGCTGCTGCTGCCGCTGCTCCTTCGCTATCACCTGACGAACGCCCAGGGGTATCCTGTCCTCTGCCCTTCACCCCCTCCCCTCGCCTGCCACTGCTGCCGTTTCCCTTTAAGGCTTCTGCTGCTGTCCGCCGCCGCTCATCCTGCAACAAGAAAGCGAATGAAGTAATAGAGGGGATACATGTCGCACAATTGGCTCTACATTGAGAGGCCCGATTACAATAAGTCACAAACGACTAAATTGTTCAATCTGTCGCTGAGCCGAAGGAACAAACAATGGCATTTGGAAACCTCATGACACCCAAAACTCCAGCAATGATTACCGAATGGGAGTAAATCTCCCACAGTCACGAGTGGAGGCAAAGTGGCACACCTCCCATATGGGGGCGTGTGATGAGGCGATTTTTGAGGCGATTTTTTAGTCGAGTATAGAGTCGATTTTTTAGTCGATTTTTGAGTCGACTCAAAAAGTGGCATACCTCCCATATGGGGGCGAGCGAGGGCACTCGCAACTTTGAGCATGCAGTCGTGGAGAGGCACTCGCAACTTTGAGCATGCATACATGCATGCTTGCACAGACAAGCAGGAGAAGAGCATCACAAGTCAGCATACATGCCACATGAGAACATACCTCCCAGATGGGGGCGAGCGAGGGCACCATCTGAATGTCATCCCCAGCCTCGTGGAGAGGTACCCGCAGAAGGTCATTCACGTTCAATATGTCTGCATGTGAGCGCGCATTGCATAATGCACGCATGTGTGTACGCACAGAGGTGACAGGAAGGATCAACGAGACATGAGATTTGAGCCAAGGCATAAGGTCATTCCCGTTCACCATGTCTGCATGCATGAGTGCACTCACGCACGCACAACACACAAGGACATGCTGCAGGGAAGCATGGGTAGGGCAGGAAAGTGCACGATCCTTTCAACCATGGATGGATGGACAACAAGGGACTCGGAAAGGCAAGCAGAGCACTCCAAAATCCTATTACCGCTCACCATGTCACCCATTTCATAGTAAGTATACAAGTGCTGTGGCGAATGACTACAACAAGGCACGGCATGCGGTGTAATCGCGACTCGCACATGCAGTAAAAGTCAGCATGCATCCATCTTGCATGCTTGGTTTCTCCTGCTACCATCCCTCTGCTAACCCAGCCCCTCCACCTTCCTAAGGCATCTCCCCACGCTGCTCTCGCCTCTCCCACCCACCTGACACGCACCCATCTGCCTCCAGCTCGCACACACTCTGCCGCCAAGCCAAAAATCATCCCAATGCAAGCCCTACCCTTCTGCACTCCTAAGCCATCTCCTCACCCCACGCACTGTTTTCCCCTGCTCCCACCCACCTGACACGCACCCATCCGCCTCCAGCTCGCACACACTCTGCCGACGCACACCGTCCATCCCTGAACGCCCTTCACGCCTTTCAGGTAGACTCTTCTCACACCATCTCCCCCTCTTCCTCCCCATGCTTCCCCTTGCCTCGAATGTGCGTCCGCCCTCCTGCCTTCTGGCCCCCAAGAAGCACCCTTGAGGGACGTTGCCAGTGAAATACACCCCTCGGATTCTCTTCGCATTCCCAGCAGCAGGTGGAGGTGGCGTTGCAGGGAGTTTTTGAGAATTCTCAAAAACTCTCTTCACGTCCCCAGCAGCAGGTGGAGGTGGCGGAGAGGTGTGAGGAGGAGGGTGCGTGGGGAGGGGTGGTCTGAAGAGGACTTGAGAGAGGCGGACGAGACCCATGCCCACGAGATTGTAGTCTATCTGAGGCATGAGATGGCATAGAGAATGGGGCAACGGGACATGGGGGATGGATGGACGGGGCACGTGTGGGGTGGTCTGAAGAGGACTTGAGAGAGGCGAACGAGACCCATGCCCACGAGATTGTAGTCTATCTGATTCACAAAATAGTGGCATGGGGCACGGGGGGCCATGGGACATGGGGCATGGAGCATGGGTAATGGTAATGGGAAATGGGGCATGGGGCATGGGAGACACGAATGTTGGGGAAAAGTTGGAGGAGAAGTACTGTTAGCAAATTCAAAGAAACTTACGACATATGCCACTATACGCTTACAACACAGTACAGTAGAGAATGTACACGTGAAGTGAGGGAGTTTTTGAGACGTCTCAAAAGCACCTTGATTTGCAGGAGGTACGGGATGTGAGACTCGTGTGGCTGGAACACTCGCCCCATCACTGCTCCTGACTGCACGTGGTGCAACCAATGGGTAAGTCATTCATGTCAGAATTTCCATTGCGATGTGACATGACTCGTGGGATACCTCGAGAGTACACCTGGTGAATCATTTAGGCAGGTTGATGTGGCATGACTTATGCTGGAGTCATCATGTGCGTACTTCCTTTCCGTTTCATCCGAAGGAATTAAACACACTCCAGTGAAGGCACCCACCCACCCACCTGGAGGATGAATGCAGCACGGGTCACTTCATCCGGATAGAACCTGCGTCCAGTGCAGAGCAGGGTGAAATGGGGAACAGGGTGTGTGAGCGCGGTGACTATTGAGTCGACTCAAACGGATGAATGCAGCACGGGTCACTTCATCTGGATAGAACCTGCATTCAGTGCAGGGCATGGTGACATGGCATGGGCTACAGGGTGTGTGAACGCGGCTATGCATGCATGGCATGGGGTTGCATGGATGGGGCATGCATGCCGTGCCAGCCATGCCATGCCATGCCATGCCATCCCATGCCAAAGTTAGCCATAGGAAGCCAGGGCTCGCGCGAGATCGGCCTGACCCCTACATCACCACATCACACCACAGTCTATTTCATCACACCACGTCTCACTGCATGACACCGCATCACACCGCACATCACCCACATTTCCAGCTTGATAAAGAGGCATTCGTTGGGGTGGTAGCCGTAGAAGGGCAGAGCTCGCACCAGAGAGCACGCATGCACACATAACACCACACCATCACACCACATCCCACCGCATCACACCGCACATCACCCACATCTCCAGCTTGATGAAGAGGCATTCGTTGGGGTGGTAACCGTAGAAGGGCAGAGCTCGCACCAGAGAGCACGCATGCACGTGCTGCCTCTTGCGCGCATAGGGGCTTGCAACCTGAGGGTGTCGCAAGGTCGTGTGTGTCGTTGTGGAGGGTGCGGGAAAGAGGGAGAGAGGGAAGAGGGGTGAGTTGATGGGCTTATGGGATTGAGGTTATCTTGGATAAAACTGCATGTCTGTACCCCTGCTGAATTAATACAACGGACCATTTGAGAGAGGGAGGAAAACACCAACACATCGATCGAGAGTGGCAAAATCTCACACCAGAGTGCTGCCGCTCAGCAACCTAAGGCGACAAGTCATTTCAGTGGACTCAAAGCACAAGGTAAGACGACCAGTAGAATAGAGTAGCGTGATAGGTGTTTAACGACAATCAGACTAGACACTAGACTCGAATGCTGTACCTTGAGTGCATACTCCAGTGCTGAAGCCAGCTGGCGCATGAAGATTCGTGCTGGTGTTAAAGTGAGGAGAGAGGGCGTTGAAGGCGGGGGACGGGGAGAGGAGGGAGAAACGGGAAAGAAAGCAGGAACATGGTTGACACATCAGAATTGTTCAAAACTACGACAAGGTGAGGGGATACTTGAAAAGGTTCTGACATGAGTGGCTCGTCTTAAATTTCACAGAACTAGGAATCAATGACATGCACTCAGCTTACGGCAGCATCTCAAGGCAAGTAGAAACACGGCTGCCAAATTCTTATTGATCTCGAAAACGGCACCTATGACATCCCATCCATCACATAGCTGAGAAAAAACTCAGGAGCGCCTACTCAACCGTCACGAGCCATACCTTTAGCCAGATCCTGAGGCAGGTCGTCATCGTATGGCACGTAGAAATAAGGGAGAGCCTGCAGCAAAAGATGGGATCATGGTGAAAACGGTGCAAAACATTTGGATGAATTGCAATAGCCTGCGAGTGCAGCAGAGCTCTTTGCCGCATAGTGGCAGTGCTGCACGACAGCAAGGTACCGTCAGCATGGAAAGAGATTGAGATGTGGAGGGTGCATAGCATACCCCGTCCCGTGCTAGTGGAGGCAGGTTTGTTGACCCATGGTGGTGGATTCCATTCCATGTTGACTCAATCATATACCTAGACGAAACGTACCCCATGCATGTGTATGCAGGCATCTATACGAAACGTACTCCGTGCAAGTGCAGGCAGGTTCGTTGCCCCATAGTGGTGGATCCAAAGATGCGCACAACTGGCACCTTATCCACTGCTCGCCCTGCCACGTGTCACACAGGGAAGGGACAACTTACACCACTGCTTGACCTGCCACGTGGCACACACAGAAGCTGAAATCTGATACCATTCTACAGAAATGGACCTCCCTTTGCAAAGGATTCAGAGATTAGCATATGTGCATACAGTGCAGTCAGACGAAACCTAATCTGCTATTCAGGGAAGTCAGACGTCACCAAATCTGCTATCAGGAAAGTCAGAGGTCACCTAATCTGCTATCAGGGCAGTCAGATGTCACCAAACGTGCAACAAGAACAGTCAAATGTCATCAAACGTGCGACAAGAACAGTCAGATGTCACCGAATGTGTAACCAGAGCAGTCTGATGTCAGCTATTATGCCACCATATCCATTAGATTATCCAAAGCAGTCTGATATCAACAATTTGCAATGTAATCGATTTAATGGCATCTGATGTGCATCCATAAAAGTCAGAAGTCACCTAATGTGTAGTCATAGCAGTCAAATGTCTCTGAAAACGCACCCAGAGCCATCCGATGTTACCGAATTCGCAACCAGGGCGGTCAGATGCCATCAAAAGTGCAACCAGAACCCTCAGATGTCACCTGATGCATAACCAGAGATGTCAGGTATAACCACGGAAAATGCAAATCTCTTTTTACCGTGGAAAGGTGAGAACGAAGCATCAAGGCCAGGAATCGGAGCATCCATGTAATAATCGATGCACACCAAGCGCATCAAAAATTCCTCATCCTCCACTCTCTCCTCCTTCCATCCCTCTTCCCCCATCTCCTCCTCTCCTCTATCCTCCTCTCTTCGCTCGTCGTCATCCTCTTCCTCGTTCCTCGCCTTTCCCTCCTCTCCCTGCTCTCCCTGTTCTTCCTCGTGTACCATCTCTTCGCTCGCATCTATCTCGCGCTCCTCTCTCCCCGCATCCTCCCCCCCCGCTTTCTCTTTCATCACAAAACCGACTCCTTTCGCAGTCATCGCGAACAAAAAATGGCTAGAATTGCGGAACAAAACTGCACCGTCGAGCTTCGACTAGTGGGACTATCACTGAATAAGTCTCGATCGCAAATTGAGAACGAGAAATCGTCTCAAGTTCGAGAAAAAATTTATTGAAACCGGCAACAGCAAGCGTGCAGGATAGTAAGCCGACGGCAATCACAACTCATCAAAACTGGCCAGGCTAACCATATCCTCGAAAAAATACCACTGTCTTAGTAACAGTTCTGATCATCTTGCCCTTGATAAAGCTGGCCTTAGGCGAAACCATCGTGTGGAAGCGTCATAACAACAAACCGTGAATTAATCTTATCTGACTCGCTTTCCTTCGTTCTGCCCTGCAAAGTGTAACTGTAGTAGTTGCAGTGCCTGATAATATTATCATCCCGCGAAAACGTCAGCTTGACGCTGATTCGATAAAGTCAGCTCGCTCTATCCAGCAAGTGCTTACCTCGAAAAAGTAGTTTGTGCTCAGCAATTTTCTCTGTTGTTCTGCAATTCCTCCAGTTTACGCATCTCCAATTTCTTCTAGTATATACTGCAAGTCATGCAAATCTGCCACATAGTCCATATGTTACGAGTGCAATTGAGTGAACGAACGAAGATTGCACTGTCGAAGCAACAAGTCCAATGAGCGAAGGAATGGGCGAAAGATATATAGCGAAGCTACAGTGGTAACGGTTAATGGACTGTGGGTATCGCGCGACGGGCCTGGCACTGAGGTTGGGAAAATGTGTCGAAGCGGAGGCCCGGAGCGCGGGTTACCCGCCGAGCCGTGAGGTCGGGGTACGACGAGCGAAAGTGGCGGGCGGATTGTCGATGCGAGAATTGCGAGTGGTAACGGTAGTTGACTGTGATGTACGCATTGAGCAGGGATGCGAAGTAAGGAAAAAGAGGTTTTCCTTACACTACCCCCCCCCCCTAAAGGAGGTCCTCCTTACAAAAGTGCGTGTACATCCCATAAATTTCGGCTATGCAGGTACTCGGTGAGGACGGGGTGGTCTTCGATTTTGTCCAGTGGGACCCAATCGTCCTCGGTGGGTGTACGGTCCTTCCAGCAGAGTAAGAATTCGATCCGTCGGGCTCCTCAAGGGTTGCGAACTCGATGGCTTAGGATTTTTTCGGGGGTGATTATCGGTTCAGTTGGCCGTCGCGTCATGCTGGCTGGGCGATTTCGTGGCAGTTGGCTCGTGGACGGGACGTAAGGGCGAAGCAGGCTGACGTGGAAAGAGGGGCTAACGTACTAGACAGCAGGGAGGAGGAGGTGGGCGGTGACGGGTGTGATCATGTGGCTTATGCCGAATGGCCCACAATATCGGGGGCGGAGTTTTGGGGTGACAGGCAGTCGGAGATTCTGGGTGTCAAGCAAAACTAAGTCGTCGGGCTCGTAAGTGATAGGTTTGCGGTGGCGGTCGGCGTTACGTTTAGCGATGATGTTAGCTTTTTTAATTGAGTCTACTACCCTGGTCCGTGCTGCTTGCAAGATTTTGGCGAATTGTTGTGTCAAAGCTATTTTATGTAACTACTTGTGGTTTAGGTGTAGTGTATTTATCTTGTCTTCTGTTTGGTGGTGCACCCCTAGTTTCTTGACTATATGTTGTATCTCTTTGCTATTATTCAACCCTCATTCTCTCGACACTTTTCCTTCAACTCGAACTCAACTTCTCCTAAGCCTCGCTAGATTCTTCACATGTTGTGCGCGTGGGACCGGGTCGTCGGGATTTGGGGTCATGGGTACTGTTGGGTCTTGTCCGTAGTTCAGGTAAAATGGTGACTGTTGGGTCGTGGGTGATGGGGCGTTGTTGTATGCGAATTCGATGAGTGGCAGTCGCTGTTCCCACGTGTTTGGGTCGTGGCACGTGGCCCGGATGAGCTGTTCCATGGTCTGGTTTGTCCGTTCCGTCTGTCCGTCTGTTTCGGGGTGGTACGGTGAACTAAACTGTAGTCGTGTGCCGAACTACTGCCACAGGTTCCGCCAGAAGTTGCTGGTGAATTTCGTGTCAATGTCGCTGATGATTGATGCTGGTATCCCGTGTAGTCGAACGACGGTAGAGATGAAGAGGCGGGCTGTTTCTTCGGCTGTGATTGATTTTTTGCAGGTTGCGAAGTGTGCCATTTTCGTCAGTCGATTGACGACGACCAGGATCGCGTCATTTCCACTTGCCCCGGCCGGTAACCCCGTGACGAAGTCCATCGTCACCTGCTGCCAAGCACGCTCTGGAGGTGGGATCGGCTGTAACTGTCCCGCCGGCCGTTTTCGTGATGACTTCATGATCTGGCAAGTGGGACATGACGCCATGTGTCGCTGCACATCGGTCAACATTTCGGGCCAGTAATAATACCACTGCAGCTGCTGCCGTGTTTTCTCTACCCCGAAATGTCCCGAGGTAACCCCGTCGTGTGCCTCCTGTAGTAGTAATTCCCGTAGTAGTAATTCCCGTAGTAGTGTGTACCCTGGTACCCAGATGCGGTCGGTCCCAATTTTTACATAATAGACTCCTCTGGCTGTTGCGAACTGCTGCGAATTTCCTCCTATGAAAAATGGGTCTGTTTGATATCCGTGGGTAAATAGTCCTGTCAGTAGTGGGCTGGTCTGGGCGAGTAGTATCGCGTGGATTTGGGCAGTGGGGCGGGTAAGTGCGTCGGCGATGTTCGAGGCTCCTTTTTTATAGGTGACTGTGTAGTGGAAATTTGACTCGAGGAAATTGAGCCATCGAATTTGTCGAGGGTTGAGGTGGGGCTCTGCGCGGAGGTACTGTAGTGATCGGTGGTCTGTCCATACTGTCACGTCTGCGCCGGTCAAGTAGTAGCGCCACACTTTGAACGCATGCGCGATCGCAAGCATTTCGCGGTCGTGTATTGGGTAATTTCGCTCGGGCAGATGCAGTTTTCGTGACTCGTATGCGATGGGCTCTAGGCCGTTGCCGAAGTCCTGTAGCAGTACGGCTCCAATGGCGATGTCGCTCGCGTCAGTAACAACCTCGAAAGGGCGGTGTGGGTCCACGATTCGCAGGATGGATGGTGAACAGAGAACATTTTTTAGGGCAGAGAAGGCAGCATGCTCTTCCCCCCCCCCACATAAAAGCGACCCCCTTCCGCAGTAAATCAGTCAGCGGGGCAGTCAACCGTGCCATGTCGGGGACGAACCGACGCACGTAATTAACGAACCCTAAAAAACTCTGCAGCTCCGTGATGTTGGTCGGGGGAAGCCACGCTTTTACCGTATCCAGTTTCTTTGGGTCGATTTCTGTCAAAATAGTAGGTAATACAGAGTAGAAACATGGGGCCTAGGCTTAGTAGCCTAGGCCCTAACTTAGTATCGAGCGGGTTTTCACCTAGGGTGAGAGTCGAGTGAGTTGGAGAGGAGAAATTGTGAAAAGGTGTGTTTCACTATAGGTTCAGGGGTACATATAGCATAGAAACACAATAAGGTGCACCACCAACAAAAGTTTACATAACTACACTAACTACAACTACAAGCAATTATAAAACATGACAAAGTATTTCGACACGCCCCCATAATGCTTGTAGGTAGGTGTGTAGTTATAGCAACAGCAGGTACCCCTACCATCTCCTCACCCTCCTCCTTCCCCTCCCCCACACTGCTGCAGAAGCAGCAGAGAAAGGGGGAAGAGAGGAGAGGTGGAGGGACGGCTGCTTGTTGCCTCACACCCGCCACCCCGGTACCACTCCCCCTGCTCCCCCACATCCTCACACCTTCTCCCCCCAGCGGCAGCTGCAGCGGTGGGACTGAAAGAAGGAGGAGGGGAAGGGAGAGAGGTGACGCCACACTCCAACACCCTCCACCCCCATACCCTCCTCCCCGCGGCTGCAGGGAGACAAAGGAGGAGGGGGGTGGGAAGGAAGAAAGCCGCAGAGCGGCGAAAAGGTGTCGGTGCAGTGGTGTCAGGGGCGGCTTCAGGGAGTGCAGGGGCGGAAAGGCCCGTCGCGGGCCAGTGCCACGGGGCGCACGACGGGTAGAATAGAAGGGCCCGATCGTGTGCCTCGGGGCGCACGACGAGCAGGGCACCATCGTGTGCCACGGGGCGCACGATGGGCAGACGAAGGGCACCGTCGCGTGCCACGGGGCGCGCGACGGGCACGGAAGGAGTCACTCGCCCGTGGGCGGGACAATGTAAAAATAAAGTCGTCACGCGCCCTAGGCGCGCGACCGGAAAACCTTAGCAGCGGAAGTGTAAAGTGGGCCCACAGGCCAGGACGAACCTAGCTCCGATAACATGTCAAAATAGTAGGTAATACAGAGTAGAAACATGGGGCCTAGGCTTAGTAGCCTAGGCCCTAACTTAGTATCGAGCGGGTTTTCACCTAGGGTGAGAGTCGAGTGAGTTGGAGAGGAGAAATTGTGAAAAGGTGTGTTTCACTATAGGTTCAGGGGTACATATAGCATAGAAACACAATAAGGTGCACCACCAACAAAAGTTTACATAACTACACTAACTACAACTACAAGCAATTATAAAACATGACAAAGTATTTCGACAATTTCAACTCCAGCCTCCGAAATAACGTGCCCCAAAAATTCTAACCTATCCTGGAAAAACTCGCACTTGGAACCCTTGGTTGGTAGGCGATGCTTGTCTAAAATCTTGAAAAATGGTTCGAGATCCGCTAAGTGTTGCTGCTTGTCCCGACTGTAAATTAGGATGTCATCGAGGTAAACTATGACACCCTTATCTAAAAGCGGCCTAAACGCCTCGTTCATGGTCATATGGAAAGTCGCCGGTGCGTTGGTCAGTCCGAAAGGCATCACCGTGTATTCGAACGACCCGTACCTAGTCCGAAATGCCGTCTTGGCGCAGTCCGATGGTTCGACCCGAATCGGATGGTAACCCCCCCGTCAATCTATTTTCGAAAACACCCGTGCTATTTTCTAAACTTGACTGTTACCCTGTTCAGTGCTCCGTAGTCGATACACATGCGAAAACCCCCGTCTTTCTTTGGCGTGAACAATATCGATGCGG